CAGTGGAAGCAAAATTGAACAGCACAGTACAGTTGATGAAAACACTAAAAAAAGGGATATTACAATCAAATATGGCCACAGATTCTTTGGTTCTACAGGAGGAGTTTGGACAGGGCGTGAACAGAAGCACCTTAGCTCAAGCTGGAAGATAGTTGAACATGTAAGTCACTCTAGTCACTTGAACACTTGAGTGTCAGCTACAGGAAATAAATACAAATGAAATATACCACATTTGACGTGAATATTTGGTGGTCTTTTTTTATCTCATAGCACCCTGTTTGTTTTAAATAAATACAATAGAATATCACTATTTCTGTACAAATGGAATGTAATGCACATTTTCCCCAGTAAAAAAGCTTCATGAAATTATAAAAGAGACTAAAGAGAGTGAAGGAGGGGTGGAAAGTGAATACTACAACTTGTATACTTTGGTATAATTAGCACCTTGCCACACAGTTTCTGCATGCATTTAATTCACTGCTGTAGGAGAACAAAGATGGGAGAGGGCTCCCAGGTACATATTTAAACCCTGACGAGGTTCTGATAATCAGAAAACATGTTTTGGATTTAAAAAAAATCAAAGTACCCAGAAAGTGACTCAGTAAATGCTAGACTGGTGTGGGATGGAGACCCTCATAGCCTGATCCTTGATTTAAAGACCAATCAGCCGTTTAAAAGGCACAAGTAGCATGTAAGTACAACAGCATCAGGCGTAGCACAGCTTACAAAAACAATGGCTATTTAATTCCCTGACCAAGGTTTCCACACATCTTTATTTTGCCTCACTGCACGCAGCAAGTTTTGTCCTGCGTAACAAACCAACAATTCAAAGAGAGTTTCTGCTGCTCTCAAAGGAAACAGGTCTAACAAAGAATAACTCCTGCTTCTCACTGGACTCTACAATCCTTGCTGCATCACACCAGAAAGATTTTTCAACCATTAGTATGAGCTGTGAATCACATTTATAGAGTGTTTTTAATGACACTGAAAGATAATCATAAAGAGAAGCCGCTGTAACAAAAGAAAAACTTCAATCTAACAAGCATGGCATCCTTCGGTTGGTTCCCTCTTCATTCTGGGAGGAAACTGGTGGCTTTATTTCTTTGGTTCCTTTTGATACAATAAGAAAAGAGCTGTGAGTTAAAAAGTGTTTCCAATGTGAGCAACACGATTGACAAGTCACTGAGTGTTTACACACATGTCACAGAAATAGACAGCTAGATGACTGAGCCCGTAAAGAAGATTTGAACTGACCACTGGCCGTCATTTTACTTCCAAAGTTTGGCGCCTGCAGGTTTCTTTTAGGTTCATGAGTGGGAGTGCTGGCTTAGAGAAGAAAGTTGATTCAAAACATTCAATTCTCAATTGACTGAAGCATTTAACACCAAAGCTGTGAACCGAAACTAACTTTTCAAACCGTACGGATGCATTCAGCCTCATATGTTGCACCGCTCTTCAGTCTGAAAAGAGTGACTGTCAACCATGTTGCCCGCAGTGTGAACGTGAGATTAAAGAAATGCAGATAAAGTCCGAGTGTGACCCTTTTTTTTTTAGAAGGAGGAAGCAGGAGGTAGAGCAAGTGGGATGAGTGGATAAAAAAAGGGGGAGACCGTGGGGAGGAGAGAGGAGTGAGAGGGGGATCGGAGACAAGGGGCTTCAGATGTCGCCGGCTTGTTCTCTGTCTCAGGCCGGCCTCTTTGGCTGCTGGTAAAACAACACTGTTTCATTCTTCAGAAACACTCTCTCCTGGCTTCTTTCTTCCTTTCTTGCTGTGGTGCGCCCAAACGATGATCTCCTCTCTGCGAGTTTTTATTTCTCTCCTCTTGACTTATTTTTGACGTCCATTATTGGTTGGGACGATGTTGAGTTTCCCAGGCACGTACTTGAGTGTGAGCGCTTGTTTGTCCCACAACCGCATCTGTGTATCTCAGTGTGTGTATGTGTGTGTGTTTTCATATCATTTACAAGTTAATTTACAAATTACTGGGCATGTATGTGTTTTTATATCAATGTGTCTCTAAGTGCATGTGTGTGAGTGTTTGTAGTGTTGTTCCGCTCAGGATGTGTGTGTTTTTAGCCTTGGAAACAGACAGGTCCCACTTCAAAGCCAAACCTTAATATCCCGCAGAGGAAGATGCTCCACTTGTGCGTGTTGATTTCCAGCACTGTCCTATCGAAGCCCTTACGATACTGCAGACAGAGACGGAGAGAGAGACACGTTTCAGAAACAGAAGCATTTTCTTTAGGTGGTAAGATTGTGAAGAATGAGTCTACTCTTGTAAAAGTGTTTTTATGTTCACTTATGTAACTGCATCAGAACTAGAGAAATATAGAAACTCATCACTGATGCACTTTAGATTAGGCTGCTTGATTTTTAAATGTCCATGATTAACAGTCAAACATTTAGAAGGTCGTTTCCACAGATGTATCCTTTAGTGTACAGGAGGTTTGGTTTATGTGTGTTAACTCACAGAGCACCGTCCACCAAGGCCTTGATGTA